AACTTGCACTGACAAGGGGCAGGCTTGCTTTCTAATTACTGAGAGAGTTCAGCTGGTGTCCATGCCTTTTTACACCTCCCTTTCTTCATGTGTTCAATACTTTTTCCCTGTGCCATTCCACATTATTACAAATAACTTTATTTCTGGACATTTATGGATCACTTGGGTTGTTACCGACAACTGGTGGAAATTTCATGTCATTAGAACCTCTAGTAATATATTTACTGAGGAAAATGTTGATGTGTTCAATACTTATTTTACCCAATGTACATGCATTCAGTTCAGCAAAGGTTGGTAGGAATTTATTGTCTATCCCAAACAGAACTCAAATTAAAACTTTAGCTCGGACTTTGTGTCTCTTCGGGGTGGTTTGCGGGGCTTGATTTCAGACAGAACCTCCTTGGCGTACTGGTTTTGGTGCAGACCTGCTTCCCGCAGGGCCTGCTCAGCTCGCACCCTTGGATCAGACACAATCTGGAAAACACATTCAGTAATTCACGGTAAATAAATCACACATTTATAGCCTTTTTTTTAAACTAGAATACACAGATGTTAGTGCTGTTTGTTAAACATAAAACAAGGTTCATCACCGATTCTTTATGGTTCGGTTCTGAAAGAGAAGATTTACAGATGCACTCAAACAGCCTCTACAGTTTATTGACTGGCTTTGTGGCCTTGGGATTTTGTCTGTGTGCTGAATGAGGACAAATACTGTCTGACCAGTAACCTTTTTTTGTGTGTATTTCCCACTATTGCAAGGGTCAGCTTCACCTGTAGTGAAACTAAAACTTAACAGACTGAATTGAAATAAATGAAACACATGAAAAGCAGAGAAATGCAAATCAATGCAAATGATCAGTTTTTCAAACGTGTTAAAGTAAGAGGAGGGCAGGTTTTATAATATTCACCTGTGTGTCTGTGTACGTGTTTATACTGTAGAGAGGCCTCTGCAGCTCAAAATCTTTCTCATTCACGAGCCGATTCCTCCACGCCTCGGTATCTGCCATCACCCTTTCTGGGTCGGCCTCTGCCAGCACCTCAACCTGCAATAATAGGAAAAAAATAATAATCACATTGATAACACTCACCTGTCTTTCTAAACACAGCCATAAGGTGGCACTGACACCTTTACTCCTGATCCTCCAGTCTTTTCAGCTGACAGGACCATAGTGGCTGAAGGTGTTAAGATCAGCTAATGATTCACCTGCTTTCTGAGAGATTCCAGACGATTCTGCCGCTCTTGTTCTTCTCTCTGCAGCTCCAGCTCCCGCGCTTCCCTCTCCTTTTGTCGCTGCTGCAACATATCGGCTCGAATCTGCACCCTAAAGGGAGCAGACAGAGGTTGTGGACATCACACCCAYATGACACTCCTGTCTCTTCAGCAGGGCCTCTGGCAGCATTACCTATCACTCCTCAAACAGCAAGCCTCTGGGCTGTGGAGGGGCTTAATGGAGCTAACAGAGCGCAGCCAGCGCTTCCCCCAATCATGTTGTTTTTGTCCCTTTTGTCCTGTGATTTTTGTTTTCTGTCCTGCAAAGTGTTCTGTCTTAAAGGGATCCACAATTAGTTGTAACATTAGACTTTATTTAATAAACATTTATTTTAACTGTAAAAAAGACTCTAAAAATACTGTAGGCTGTTTAGTTTTTATCATTTTTAAACTAAAAGTTTTAAAAAATATTACACGGACGGGGCCATTTTATTTACATGCAAAGCATTCTGGGTAAATGATGACGTGGATAGGTCCTCATTGCAAGGCTGCTAGCGAGCTATATCCACCCTGATGGTTAATCTTGGACAAATCTGATGATCGGCTCTTTTAAATGAAACCAGAGAGCGTTGACAGAGAGGAGAAGGTAGAAATGACTCAGCCTGTTACTGAAAATATAGATGGAGGACAACAGAGCTGCTTCATGGAAGAAGAACCTCAGCTTAGCCTGTTAGCTTTAGCGTTAGCCCCGACGCTATCACCATATATATGTATTAGCTCAGCGCTACACATTCTCCTCTCATGACTGAGGTCCTCCATCCAAATGACAGAGAGGTGAACACAAAAATGACTCAGCCTGCAACTGAAAATATGGATGCAGGACCTCAGTTTATCTTGTTTGTCGCGCTACAGCTGAACTAATACATATAAGGCAATGTTGGTGCTAGCGCTAAGCTAACAGGCTAAGCTGAGGTTCTTCTTCCATGAAGCAGCTCTGTTGTCCTCCATCCATATTTTCAGTTCCAGGCTGAGTCATTTCTACCTTCTCCTCTCGGTCCACGCTCTCTGGTTTCATTTAAAAGAGTCGATCATCAGATATTGTCCAAGATTAAYCTTCAGGGTGGATATAGCTCGCTCACACCGAGGACCTATCCACGTCATCATTTACCCAGAATGCTTTGCGTGTAAATAAAMTGGCTCCATCCGTGTTAAAATATACATTTAAAAATTTACAAAACTACAGTATTTTTACAGTCTTTATTTTACAGTTAAAATATATATTTATCAAATAAAGTCTAATGTTACAACTAATCAGGGATCCCTTTAATGGCAAAACTCATTGGTATCTATTAGTACTACAATCATGTCAAGCGTGAAATTTGTTTTAGTCAAGGGTAATATAATTTGGGTATGAATAGAAATATTTCTAAGCTGAAACATAATTGAGGAAACTAGCTGAGTGAATGACGGACATTTTGAAATTCAAGTTTACTTTAAGACAGTATTGTGTATTTGTGTGATAGTCTGGCTAAAAGCCCAAAAAATAATTAAATAAATATAAATTTAAAGTTCTTGATAGTTTTTTTTTTAATCCACCAACCCACAACGCAGCCATGTGGTCTGACGCTCACCTCTGCCTGTCTCGCCTCGCCTGCTCGTCCATGATGCTCCTCAGAGCAGCAAGTCTCTCCTGATCCTGCCGCTCCAGCATCTCCCTCCTCTTCTGCTGCTTTACATAAAACTGCCTCAACTTTGGGCAAAAAGAAAAGCAAAAAAAAAGTTAGTTTCTGAGCTGCCAAAAGCCAAATAAAGTTGAGTCTCATGAAACTGGAAAGGATCATCGTGTCCTATTGATTGAGGCGGCAAGGAATCAGATAAATAAAGAGAACGAGATGATATTTCAACGTCTGCCTGAACGTTGTGTAAGATTTTCTGGAATTCAATGAGGCCTAAATGTTCTCATTAATCAGAGAGTGTCTCGGGTTGCCTTTTCTCCCCAAGCAGACCCTCGAGGAGAGAGTTAATTAAACAGTTTGAAATACACACACTTCGTGGCGTTACCGCACCTGTGCGTTCAATATTCTAAAATGAATAATCAAAATCCCCAGGTACCTGTTAACAAAATCTGCTTTCAGATTGATAACATCCAGAGCTTTATGTGTGCAAATCACTGGTGTGTATCGACAGTAATTTGTTTTTCATTGATCACGTTTTTAGCCATTTTGATGAATCTGTGAGCATTTCGAGTGTACGGTTTGCATGATTTAAATGAGTTTTGTATTTTTCTTTTCCCCTCCGTCAAAATAAAAAATTAGACCTAAAAGAACAAATGATGGATTTCTTTTAAAATATAGCTAATACTGTAGATACCATGCTTAAAGTGCCAGTGACATCAAATTTTTGTAATAAATATGCATGCATTTTTTGGAAATACAATATTGTAAACACACACAAAAAAATCACGCTACTGAGATGAAGAGTTGTTGAGATATTTGCATGTGAAGTAACAGGAAGTGATGTCAAAGGGGAATGTTTGCATGTAAACAGAGAACTGCTACAAAGGCTAACAACACAGACTGTATCTGATGTTTCTTTAAATTATTTTTAAGTGACTATCAGAGCGAGATAAAGAAGAATCAGAGTTCAAATAATATCAATATGTAATATAATAATATAGACCAGGGAGCTTTCTTTCCTATAGAGTTYCCCTTTGATGTCACTTCCTGTTTCATTTTGTCTGAGCCAAGTTCAAAAGAAAATATGGCAGAGGGCATGGCAGCTACAAAATGGGTAAAATCATGTGTATTATGCCAAGTTTCTTAAATATTATGATGTTTTCTTAGATTTTTTATTTATTTTTTAAGACAGGCATGTCACAGGCAGTTTAAAACATAATCCAGCACACACTCTGGACATGCTTGAGGACAAAGTGCTTACTTTTTCTTTCTGATGTGATCTGATGGCAATCTCCTTCTCCTGCTCCCTCTTCATCTTCTCCTCCTCTTCCTCTTGTCGTCTAGCTACTATAGCTGCCTCCATCTTCGCCACCTCCTCCTGCTGTGCCCTCCACTGCTGCAGCTATAAAAAACATGTGGATGCACACCAGGGAGAAACAAACAAAAAAAGGGCAGGTTATTGTCAGTAAGCAGGTAAATCTTATAATTGAGGTTTCACATTATTTTTATTTGACCAACATATCTCTAAAATATCTCAGCAGGGGGGGGAAATGCCTTAAACTACCATTCAAATGCTTTAAAGGGCTGATGCTGCACAGAAATCTAGAATCAGTGAGTCAAATGGAGTTGTTAGTTTCTTAAATCTTTAACCATCATAACCCCTCATCCTGAACTTAATCATATTTTAACCCAGACTAAAGAACCAGAMCTTAAACATCCAAAAGCACTGCAGTCCCACAGAAACCATAACGCAGTCCCCTCCATTGGTTTGGTGCCCTGTCAAGTCTATGTTCTCATAATAACAGAACACACACAAACACACAGATTTATGGCATAGCATTTGTTGAAGAGTGAGTGACAAGCTTGTTATGCTGCAGTGTCTTTGTGGTGGGCTGGGTATTAAAGTGTTTTATTCTGACCGGGCAGACAGATTCACAGATCTGTCAGAGGAGAGCTTAGAAACCCCCAAAGGAACCAACTGCAAATTAACACTCTCTCTCTTTCTTTCTCTCTCTTTCTCGTACACATACATCCAGGTTTGTTTTTATGTCCCCATAGGGACCGTGGATTGACTCCCATTTATTTTCTGGTAATTTTGTTGCCTGATCCTGACCATTTACCCAAAAATTAATCTCACACCTGACACTAAAACTAACCTAAACTCAATTCACATCTTGGTCCTAAACTGAACCCCCCACCCGAAATTAGCATCTGTACCCATGGAAACCGGGTCTTGGTCCTTATGACACACATTTAGTCTCCACGAGGCTGGCTTTTTCTGGAAAATGGTTCCCACGATGTAGCAAAAATGTGCCCCACACACACATTAGCAGCAGTCAATCGCTTTTGATGCCTGCCTGGAATAAAAGCAGCAGCTGTGTGTTTAAGAGGAGATTTAACAATCCAGCCTCTAATCCACTTCGGTTTAAAGATGATGGAGTTTGAGATATTAAATTCCTTTTTAGAAATCACGCAAACTTCTAGTGGATGAATTTTTCTGAAATCGAAGAGGAGTTCACTTGTAAAACTGTAGTAAATTTAAAAATAACAAGAGTTGTGCTTAAAGATTGAATCAGTATTTTACGCTACAGTTGCTTTTCATTTGTTTTGAAAGTCGAACACTTTACACATGAAGTAACTGTGTCTTAACTACTTTATTCTTATTGGTGTTGATTCTGATAATAACTTTTGTAATGTATTCTGGTGACTGTGAAAGGACACAATATTGATTCTAACGTCCTCTGATGTTCACTCAAGCAAAACATTTAATCTACAAAAGCAATCGCACAGTGAGAGGCTCCAGTCAGAGGAAAAAGGTCCAAAAAGGTGAGCATCTTGTCATCCAATATTTTTTTATTAGCTTCAGAGAAAGTAAACATTGTACAAAGTATGTCTCAAAAAGTTCATAAAACCAGGAGATTCAGAGACACGAGGAACAGTGAGTTTAATTGTTCATGCTTTGATTCAACTTAAAGCCAACATTTTGAGTTTCCTGATTATTATTCTGTGTTGCATGAACCTGATGAAATTAGCACAATGATATATGAAAAGGTGCAAATGTGCAACTCTTCAAACTTTAACACCATTAAACATACCAGTTGTAACACGCTGCTGTACTATTTAAAAGTACAGTTCAGGGAAAAAAGGAAAGTTAATCCATGCTGTGTTTATTTACAGCTTAGACAAAGTTCCAGCATTGTTTACACCTGAGGGTTTTATGAAATTAGAAGAGAAAATAAAATTAAATGAGCGAGAGAGAGAAAAAAAGCATAATTTATTCGTACGTGTAGCCCTGCCATGTCTCAGTTAAAAACTGCTTTATGATGGGATCCACGAGGCTGTAAATAATGTGAGGGGGGGAGTTGTTTGTACAGTGTTTAGAGACACACAGACATAAATTTTTATGTTTTTGTTTTGCACACAGTGATAAATTGTGGCAGACGTTGTGACATTCATTTGCAGTAAAACCAGCAAATAATCTGAAATGTATCAGTAAAATCTCCAAGATGCACGCTGTCAGAAAGCATCTGTATAACTTATTATTAGGCAGAGAGGAAGTGGCATCTTAGGTAACACAAAGACAAAAAAAATGTCATTATGAACAACAATTTGTCACCGGAATCTCATTTTCTGTGAACGTGAAAAGAAAAAGAACTTCATCCTTTTTCCATGGCAGCACAAAAAGAGACTGGAGAGATGTGAGGAAAAACTAAAGAAAGATTGAGTTTTTTTTTTTATTATCTGAGCCCTGCAGCCAGCTCAAAGCCTTTGTTAAAATAATTGGATACTTAAATATTTTGTCAGGGTGAGCAGCTGTCTTTTCTTTCTCTTTACAGGTCGTTTTATGACAGTCATTAGAATTACATAAACACGAGAGTGGCACAGTTTAGGTAGGAACTAATCCTAAACTGGAAATCATCGTGTGGGACAATTTCCTGATCAGAATCAATGATAGATGAGATGACAACATCTGTAAAGGAACTTCATACAATGTCTGTTATGATGCTGCGTTAAAGGCCTAAAAGGAATGCCTCTCAGTCTTTCATGCCCAGTTTTAAACTAAGATCACCTTGTTGGATATTTTGTGACTGAATTTTAGATGAACACCTATATTCATATATTTTGGGATCAATTGTAACCATTTAATTTAAACAATTAGAGAATCAACAAGTCTGTAGTTTTAGCATTCCTTTCAATAACTTCCTTTCATTTTAGTATGACATCATATCTGGGGTGGGACTAGACTCTGGATTAGGGATTTTTTGTACTCTTAATAATGAACTCCACCAGTATTTGACTCATAATTGTCTCCTTACTCTTATACAACTCAAAAACAGTTTAATGTATTATACAGAGGGTCAAAGCTGTGGAGCAGTCCTCTCACATTCTTCACAGAGGTTTTAAACAGAGAGTTAAATTATTGCGCTTAAGTTGCTTGAATTTTCCAAATGGGTTTGTGTTTTAAATGCAATTTTAATTGTTTTATATTAATAAATGTACTTTTCTACATAATAATATATACATGATTTTAAATTGTTAATTGTTTCTATGGAGATTGCCACTTATTAAGCCCCTTGAGGGGTTTTCAGCAATTCATCACATCAGTTTTGTGAAACATATAATATTGTTTTTTTTGTCTCTATGTTTTGTTGTGGAAAAAAAAAGAAAAAGGAAAAAAAAGGTGGAGATATCAGGAAGTGGACCAGATCTGAGTTGTGTGGTAACTTTACATGTCTGTAAATAAATATTCAACTCTGAGAAAAGAAGTGAATTGATCTCCTGCGCAYGATCTCTGATTTGAACGTGAAGATTCAGCCTCATGCTGAAAAGTGATGGCGTCGTAGCCGTTGTTTGTCAAACCTGGCGATGATTTTAATCGTTCTCATGCAGTATCACAAGTTGTTGCACTCAGAGTGACTCTCAGCAACTACCACTTCAAATGTTTGCTCAACATTTGTAAAACTAAATGAGTTATGGCCATTTTTGTGTTGGCTAAGTAAAGTTAGTTATGTTAGCTAATTGGATTGTTTCAAAGAATAATCAGATGGAGATGAACATCTGCTGGAAGACAACTGAGAGTTTCATTAATATCCTTCCAGTGGTTCGTGAGATRTTTTGCTGACAGACAGACACACAAACAGGTGCAAAAACATAATCTTCTGGCTTTGCCTTTTGGTGGTGGGAGATTAATATTACGCCAGCAATTCCGCTGCGGGCACAATCAGAAACTTCCTGAAGTCCATCATTTTCCAAAAAGAAAATTATACACATATGAGCAATTAAGTCCTCAGAGAGCTGTCAGCTGAAACACTGCACGGCCCACGCTCTGTCTCAACGACTAAAAGACTTCCCCACAAGAGAAACTTCAAAGTCACAGATGATCTGATAACATGTTGCCTGGAGAATACTCTTACTGAAAGTAGTGTATGTGGATAATCCATAATTTAATAATGTTTCATTTCTAAAGTACTCTGAAGACCAGAGCGCTTGCAATAATAAAAATAATCACGTTTTATAAAAATACTCGCCTCTCCCCCTTCGACAGTTGAATCCCTTATCCTGCTGGCCTACACATCTACGTCCCACCTGAGCATGCTGTAACAGTCTGCCATCCCTCCARGCTTCGTTCATTCATGTGGAAAACACAATCACACAATCAAAGACGCCTGGGGGCGAAATATAAGCGGGAGGTAAAATGAAAGCAAGGGCATAATAAAAGCCTGGAATAACAAGAACAATAGCAGCTAATTACAGCAGCCAGAGCAGCGCAGAACAAACGACTGATGAGCTGAAAAGAGGAGCCTGTTGTTCGGCGATAAAATGGAATGAAATGAGCTATGTCTCCTGCATGAAATCCTGACTCATTATCTGAACGATCCATTTCAGTTTTACCTTTGTCAGTATCTGACATGCAGCACTCTTGTACTGTAAATCATGGTTTATGGGCTGTGATGTCACCTTTGTGGACACACGTAAATCCAGCGGATTGGTTTTTGATTCTCACGAAGATCATTTTTGATTGAGTGTGACAAAGTGTTCAGAAATCAATTACCCTAGATGTTCCTCCCACTGCACCTTTGCTTGTGCTTTTTTTTTTTTTTTTTGGTCTGGCTGAGACTCAGACAGACAGCTCTGCTCCCTGAAATAAGGTCAGAATCATACGAGCGCTGACAGAAATTGATCGTTTGGATGCTTTCATGAGAACTGATGAAGAAGATGAAACTATGGGAGGTTATTCGACCACCCATGAGTCATCAACAGAGATCTTTTTTTTTTTTGTAAAGTGCAAAACATGTTTATTTTTGTTCAAATGGGACAACAAAGATTTGTTACTTGAAAAAAAAAACATAAGGAGAACAGGAACCAAAAATAAAATGAATTGTTAAATGGTTTGAACTTATAGCACTTTATCAAGACCCCACATTACAATCATTCACCCATACACTGATGGTGGTATAGACCAGTGTTTCCCAAAGTTGGGGTCGGGACCCAAAGTGGGGTCCTGAAACATCAAGGTGGGGTCTTGAAAAGATTTTCTGAATTAATTACATTTTTGCCTTAGTTGTTACAAATGAGTGAGGTTGGTACTGTATATTTAAAATGTATAAATGTAGTATAAGAATATTTTTACTATGCCCATGTTTTGTTGACCTGATACAAATGTTTATCATCCAAAAATAGTTGTGGGGACATGTCTCTGCTACTGTTATTTTGTGGGTCAAAAGCTGAAAGTTTGGGAACCACTGCACTTTGGTTCCCAAAGCTGGGCTTTGGACCCAATTCTGGGTCATGAAGCACCTTGGATAATCTCCAGAAATCAATTTAAAGGGTAATAAAATAATTGCTGATGTAATATTTTCCCTATAACTATTACAAAAACACAAAATAAGTATAAATAAGTATCTATATTTGTGTAAAAGCTGTTTAGATTGTCAAAAAGTCTGTGTTTTTAGTGTTATTAACAGAGTTTGTGTACTCAGACCAGTAATATTTGGGGTCACAAGTTTTTGCCAAGGGTATTTTGTGGGTCAGAAGATAAAAAGTTTGGGAACCACTGGTATAAGCTACAGCTGCCCTGGGGCAGAMTGACAGAGGCAAGGGCCATGCACCAGAGCTACTAGACCCTCTGACCACCACCAGCAGGCAAGGTGGGTGACGWGTCCTACCCAAGGACACAACTGAGACAAACGGAACAGAGGATCAAACCAGCAACCCACCAGTTACAGGATGACTCCCCTAACCACTCAGCCACAGCCACCCTGTTCTTAAATTTCTTGTCATGATCACTGTTGTTCAAAGAATAAACATCTAGCCTCATTCACGATGACCTACAAGAAACAATGCACCAGTTAAAATGCACACTAATGCATTAGTTCAAATGAAAGCTGTAAGTCTAAGTAGTTTTTTATTATTAATATTGTGCTTTGAATTTGTGACTTTTAGTCACATTGTGCCGCTGACTTCACTTTCCGTTTTATTTTAGCATTTCCTTGTTGCGTATCAAGTGTTTTGTTTTAGTTGGCTGTTTTAGCTAGTCGTCCTTTGCAAAAGCAGCTGCTTTWCTTGGATCATTTCATTCTGCATCATTTGAGCTCCGAGGTTTATGCTTTGGGTCCTTCGTTGAATCGTTCAGAGAAGTTGCAGAAGTTGAAGTGCTAAGGACGTGGATGCAATGAAAACAGAATCCATCATGTCTCTCCACTGCGGTGCTGCACTGCCATGATAACAGCAGCATCCATCTGAGCCTCTATATGAGCTTAAATCTAGGAAATACTATTATTTCATTATCATATAGAAACACAATGTGGAAATATGTTAAAAACTACATTTTTTGGTGTTTCTCAGAGATTTATGACAAAACTTAAACAAATGACTTATGTAAATATCAAATGAAATTGAAGGACTCTGCAAATTGCTAAAACTTTCAGAGGAACTTTCTGGACTTACCAGAGTTTATGTTGAAGTTTCTGATAATTAATCAGTACAGTAGCAAAGACGGGGCCAGTAACAACACTTTCTATGTGCATTTGTGAGGAAACGTAATCACTTGTCAGCCTCTTTAAAGCTTAATTCTTTTCAGAAGATAAGTTGTTGTTTCTAAAGAAAAAAAAATGACAGCAGGAGACAAAAGCGTGAATGGAAAACCTCCAAAGCAGAAATAAATAAAGGCCTAGCAGTCCGTGATGTAATGCATGACCACCTTTCATGCTAGTTATATTTGTAAGATGAAGTAGTTTTTGTCATTTTGGTCAAACTTTGTAAAAAAAAAAACATATGTGAGATGTTGCACAATCTGTTAGCACTTGGGAGTACATGACCCCCAGCTACTACCAAACAAACTACTACTTCTTGGTGGCTAAACAGACTTTTAAACACATTTCAAACAACAAAACTACTAACAAGAACATAAAATCAGAAAAAAAAGACTTGATCATTTAAAGAGTGACAGCAAACCCTGCAGGTCTCACAGGAAAAGAAAACCCCTCAAACTTAGCAAACACAACTGTGCTAATATTTGAAAAAAAGAAAGAAAATAAACTGAGTGACGTTGGGTCACACTAGCAAATGTCAGCGTGTCTTTATCTGAACAGCCACAGGACATAAACCATTAATAATAAAAAAAGTGCGCAAGCTAAGCAAATTCAATTTGTTCTGTACAGTATCAACAGCTCACGGATTTGTTGTGTCACTGTACACCAGCGGTCCGTGGAGACAGCGACATCATGTTTTGCTCGACCATCCTTATTAGTTTGTTTGCATTCAGAGTCTGTCCCAAGTGGCAGCTAACGCCAGGGATGCTGTCAGGCAGCCCAGCCTAATATACAGCCTCATCAGCAGATACACAGAACACAGGCAGGCAGTCAGACAGTACTGCTCGCTTATACAGTCTGACCATCACATCTACACTTTAAATCAGACATAATAAACGTTACCACATAGTTTCTGTGTGGGAATATAAAGGAGTCATTTAGTTAAGTATATAAGAGGCACTAACTTTGTCTCTCAGATGTAAGCAGATGTCCTGCTGGTGCTGACGCTCTCTGCGGTGCTCCAGCTCCTCCTGGTGGGCATGCTCTGCCTCCTGCAGCATGACGAGGGCCCTGGCCAGCAGCTCCTGCTGGTCTCGGCGCCACTGTTGGGTCACTGCTTTCATCTGTGCCTGGGTGAAGCGCTGGAAGTTCCACAAGCGTTCGTGCTCCGCCTGAAAGAACCGATGAGGTATTGTTTGATTAATTAGTGACACAAAGACAACAATGAATTTACAACCCCAATTTACCCCCCATGTACATGAAAATAAAAAGCAATAAATTACAAATCTCACAAACTCAGAATTTATTCATGATGAAACATAGTAAACATTTTGATTTGCATCATTTTGGAGGAAAACTGTTGTAATGAATGCAGCCTGGAGTTGGGCATTGTCTTGCTGAAATATGCACACTGCAAAAAATGTCCATCTCACCAAGTTTTAAAATCTTATGTCCAGCCAAAAAGTCTTTTTGATCTTGTTTTGACACAGATTTACTAAATAAGAACTGATCATATAAGACTAATAATCTTGTTTTCAGAATGTGTAAGATTATTTGTCTT